GAGTGTCAGGAAGACAAGGCATAGTCAACAACCTTTGCTGTTGCCTGAACCTGAGGGAGGGTTCCCTCTCCCGGAGGTGCCGAGGTGACTGTCCATTGCCTTGCTTTCTCCTGCCTACGGTTACAAAAGGGCTTCAACTCTTGGTGATGTCTTTTAGTGTTTCTTACCTGATCTCACGTGTTGCGGACTCCATGACTGCAGCTCTTCTGGGAGCAGAATCCCAGTGAAGAGTCTCTGCTTTAGCATCATGACACATGTGAAGCTTTAGCACTCTTAAATTATGCCTCCATTTCCTGAGTTTGCTTTTTGAAAGCACAGAAATGAGATGCCTCTTAACAGGATGTGAGGAGGGAATGATGGTGATCTGGGGTGGGGTTCACCAATGCACCGGGTAGGGGGGAGGGGGGTGGTTACAGTTATTAAGTGCATCCTTAATACTCACTGTGCAGTTCTAGCAACAGATTCATTGCATTCAGGATAGGGATCTGATGCCACTGCAGTGTAGTGATTGCTGGTAAAGGCCTGTTTGGGGGGGTTTAAATGCAGTTTCTATAATACATTTCCCTGTAGTAGAACACTTTAGTCCCATGTGTGACCTTAGGACTTCTTTAAGGTTATGTTGAGTGGATCCCTGCAGCTCAAAATGCTTAACACTGTTTTAACAGAAGTCTTGCTGCAACTTTACTTTTGGTTTTAGTTGATGGCAGATTCTTAGCTAATGTGTTTCATTAAAGTATGCTGTGTTTCCTGCATATGCATCTGTAGACCTCCTGCCTCCATGGAAGCTCTGCAGACGCTCCTTTTGAGATGCAGCCATGGAAAACATGGTGTAGGTTTGGAACAGAAACTGTGCAGGTGATGTCTTGTGGGTGAGGGGAGATTTCTTTCTTTTTTACTTCTGTCAGCCTTTTTAAGCTGTTTTTTTGCCCACAGTCGAGGCACTTGGTGGTCCTGGCTTCATCACCCATATGTGGGATTTCCATGGGATGGCAGTGTAGAACATTGTTAAATGCAAGGTGTCAGTGGGGAGATGGTGCTGCTGCAGGTTGGTGACTGAGGTTCATGGGGTTTCTTGTGAAGATCGAGCATGGTGCTGTCTGACTGCGCAGCTGTAACCGCACATGAGGGTCTCATCCTCGCCAGCATGGGACCACCTCACCAGAAGCATTAACTTTAGTCTCACACAAGAACCCTGAAACTCCCTGCACTTGCATCATGTATGTGTTGGCGGCTTAATTACTAAAAAGTTAGAGCTGTCCTCAGAAGACTGATTATTCTGAATAATTTATTTTTACCTAAAACTGATAGATGTACTTCAGGAAAACTATTTTAGTTGTCACAGTTTGATGTGGCACTGTGTACCTGGACAGAGCTGGGGCTGAGATCTGCAGATAAAACTTTAAAGTTTGACATTTTGTGGGGGCGTGGCTGATGAAGGTAAGAAGTTTTGAGGTTATGGTTTGAGGAAAATCATGAAATGCTGTGGCTTTGGAATAAGCTGGTGAGAAATGCCTCGGGGGAGGACACGTCTGTGTTTTAGAATATTAAATTGCTTCTGAAGTCTCAGGAGCTGAGCAGTATTCAAAAAAGAATCAAGTGTTTAAAAGTAGGTGCAGAATGAAAGACAAGTCTTTCTGAGGCCACAAAGACAATCAGGCCATGTAGACAATCTGTTTTCACTTGTATATTTTGAGTTGGGAAGAAGATGGCAGCTAATGGCAGCTGATTTGAAGTGGAAAAGAAGGATTTGTTGAATTACTGGAACTGGATTATTTTACTCCAGCATAGGATTTCCTATTTAGTTGGATGTGCAGAGGGAAGGGAGAAACCATCTTTTCTTAGAAGCATTATTCAGAAGCCAGTGTTCATACTACATCTCACTCACACAACAATTGTACCTGTGCTACTACTTCTTATTCTCTGTCTACTGAAACTTTGGTGCAGAAGCTCCTTGTTTACATGAAGCACTTTGATTAGGCTGGAAATTGACACCTTTTCCTCCTATAAATTTGATGGAGATGACAGATTACTGACTATTTTGCTTGGATAGAGGTATAAACATTGTTTTCTTGAATGAGGGAGACTTGTGCTCCTTGTTCTATTAAAGAGAGAGCTCAGACTTGTATTTAGTGAGTAAGATGCAAAAACTTCTTATTCCCTTTTCCCCAACTACCCTCCCTCTTTTCCTTAATATATGGATGAATAACTTAATTCCTAAAACACATTTTTTCCTTTAAAATGTTTTGTTGTTCTACGGAATTACTGTAGCTGTGTATTAGTAACTGCTGTGTTGATTGGCAGTTTCCTGTTGTATTTTTCCTGTTCTTAAGGACTTTCTCTTATGAAAATTAAGGCTGTGGCCACCTGTACTTGTAAAGCCTTGGGTTTTGGTCCTGAAATGTCCCAAATGTTTGTCTTAAGGTTTTCTTTGGTTTGGTGGGGGTTTTGAGGGGGTTGGGTGTTAGTTTTGTTTGGTTTGTTTCTTTTGGTTGGTTTTTTTGGTTGGGTATTTTTTTGTTTGTTTGAAAGAACACTAAAGCTGTTTGAGGCACTGTTCCTTCTTCTAATAATTCTATGCTTCTATGGTAGAGGTGGTGCTGAGCCCTGTGGGGTACAGGGAACAGCTGAGAGGGAAACTTGTAAAACCGCACTTGGGGTTTCTGTAATTACCTGTACTGCCAGGAGGCAGCCCTGCCTTTGGCAGCATTATGGATTTGTTTCTTGTCCTTGTGTTGTTACTGGTATAAAGTCAAGTGCCTTCAATGCTAAAGGCTCAGAAAACTTTCTTAAACTGACTTCATGTCCTATGCAAGTGTTTTTTCTACAACCTGCATAACCAGTACTTTGTAAAACTTGTTTACGCTTCAATTGTACATAGTGTTTTTTAAAAAAAAAAATAGTATTTTTATTTAGGTACCTCCAAACTTGAATTCTAGTCTTGTGTGATGCATTGTAAAACAATACATTTCTCTTTTGAGTACCATTACAGTTGTAAAAAGGTTTTCACTGGTTCTATTTTTCTACTGTTGCTGAGAAGCATGTAACACTGACTTTATCCTACATATAGTTGGCATTTCAAATAAATGGCTTGTATAGAACATGCTTGTGTGGCTGCTTCCCGTGAACTGTGACCGGCAGCACTGGGCTGGCTACACCCACCACCCTGTCCTGCTCACTCCAGGCTGGCGGACTGAGGGCCTGCGGGAAGGAGCAGAGCAACACAAAGAGAAAGGTGCCCTCTGACTGTAAAGGCTCCTCAGACTGACAGGGTTTGTTCCTCCTGGGGGGGAAAAAAGTACCCAATAATGCTTTGAACATCAAAGACATGATATAAAACTGTAAAAAGAGGGATTCAGAATCCGTGGCACTGATCAGGCATTTTTAAAAAGGAAAAAGCATTTCAGTGAAAGAGCTCTGTGAGTTCTGTCTAGAGCCTGATGGACTGAGGCCATTCCCTGTGAAAGGCAATAGGGCTCAGAGCTGGGGCCACGGGACACAGCCCTGGATCCAGAAGTGTGCGCTCAGCTGGACAGACACATTTAGTACTTGGCACTCCCAAGTTGCAGTTTTGCTGCACTGGCTGACTGTTCATTACATCTCATTCACAAACAAGTGTCTCATTGCTTCAGAGTGATGACTGAAGTTCAGAAATGTCATCCAGTCGCTTGACTGGTCTCACTTTGATGTACAAGAGCAAAATACTGTGAACTACGTTCTGACACAGAGCAGAGGTGCATGAGCACAGCAGGGCTGGGGCTGGGCCTCACTGCAGCACTTCTGTGTGCCCTGGGGCCTTCTTAGTGTGTATTTATTGTGGAGAACAACACAGCTTGGAAAACTGAGGTGTTGGGTTCAGGGTGATCTGAGCTCAGAGCTGGAACCCAGGACAATGATTGCCTCTGGGCACCCTCTCCCTCACCCTTTCAGTGAACTACAAAAATGGCAATACAGAGCAAACATACCCCCATCCTGCTTTTTTCTTACTTGCTGGCAGGATGCAAGGCCCTTGTTTCACACCTGGGTTAGGTGGAGGCAAAGGTCTAGGAATCCTGGGCTTGACTCAGCCCCTGGGATGTATCTTGGTCATCACTGGGCTCCCTGTGTCTGCCTGGATCTTGAAAACAAAACACTACAGCAACACTGAGAAAAAACAAGACAGTACAGATTGAACAGTTCTTTAATTCTTTTTATATTGTAGTTAGATGTGCAGTTACAACTCCTGTAACAGTTGCTACCAAAAAACAGCATGTACAATACCTGGAGTTAAATTTAAAAGCAACTAGGAAAGGGACCTGAGGGTTCTGATCAATGGCAGGTTGGAATGCATCAGCAGTGCCCTGGCAGCCAGGAGGGCCAACAGTGTCCTGGGGGGCATCAGGCAAAGCATCAGCAGCTGGTCAAGGGAGGGGATTGTCCCGCTCTGCTCTGCACTGGGGCGGCCTCACCTTGAGTATTGTGTGCAGTTTTGGGTGCCACAATATAAGAAAGATATTAAGCTATTGGAGTGTCCAAAGGAGGGCAACAAAGATGGTGAAGTGGCTGGAGGGGAAGCCATAAGAGGGGCAGCTGAGGTCACTTGGTCTGTTCAGCCTGGAGGAGACTGAGGACAGACAGTGTGGCAGAATGTCCACAACTTTCTCCCAAAGGGAAGAAGATCTGGTGATCTCTTCACTATTGTGACCAGTGACAGGACTTGAGGGAATGGCCTGAAGCTGAGTCCGGTGAGGTTTAGGTTGGGTTATGAGGGTGGTTGGACACTGGAACAGGCTCCCCAGGGAAGTGGTCACGGCCCCAAGCCTGACAGAGTTCAAGAAGCATTTGACAATGCTTTCAGGCACATGGTGGGATTCTTGGGGTGCCCTGTGCAGGGCCAGGAATTGGAATTGATGATCCTGATGTGTCCCTTCTAACTCAGCATATTCTATAATTCTATGAAATGGATGAGCTGAGCCTCTGTGCTACAACTAGTTTTTGTAAATAAAGTGGTCAGAAACAGTTAATAGTGAGAATGATAAAGGTCTTTGTTCTCAAAAATCATTAACACAGAAGCAGAATAGTACCCCATGGTATAGAAATCCTCAAAAACTAGAACTTTAATGTATGTTTTGGGGGCTGAAGGTAAAGAAAACTAAAAACTACATTAGGCTCCAAAAATTACAAAAAGTCAATTCTTAATTGCGGCTAAGTGTAGAGTCTTAAAAGTCAGTGAAACATCTCCCATGCTTATCACAGTGGTTATAAAAAGACCATGTTTCATACTGTAGCAAAATATCAGGATGCTTCAGGGTTTTCAGCAACATTTATGAAGTAGAATAATTTGCTGTAGGCTAGTTTTTGAAATCAAAGCACATTACAAGTCCTATAACAAACCCCCCATGCTTAGTTTGTAATTCAGTACCTCCTCCTAGATATTGTTTATATTCTAATAAGTGAATTGACATCATGTGACAATTTTTTTCATGTAAAACATCACTGTACAATATTAGAAACAGATTTTTTAATGTATAAAACCAGATAGAACATTCTGTTGCATCAAGCCTAACCTCTGATTCCCCATTTCTGACCTGCCCAGGGAGTGCTTCCCCAGCGGTGAGCGAGCAGGCAGCAGTGACAGTGGTTTGGCTGCCCTGGAGGGACCCGTGGGTCACCCACAGCCACAACTGTGTCCGCTCCAGCCACTGAGAAGCCATGAGCCCTGCACAGGAACAGACACCTCCTGGGTGCAGGGAGCCCTGGCCAGAACTGCTGCACCCCAAAGGGCGAGACAGAGCCATTTACAGCAGGAAAACAAGGAGCTCGTTCCCTGCACTGCAGAGAGGGGAGGGCAGGGCAGGCAGAGCCCACGTGGGTTTAGCACAGCCTACAGCTCTAGGCACTGACAGGAGGCTAAAGGGTGAAAGGCTACGGGGAACAAACAGTGACACACTGTTCTGGTAACAAGCCAACTCTCCCTGGAGACAAGGCTGGCTTTTGGGGGAATGCAAAGTTGATCGGTACCAAAATCCCTCTAACTGCAACGGTAAGAACCTGTTAAGAACGTGTTTTAGTTGCTACAAATAAAGTAGGAGACAAAATGAAGATGTTTCTTGGACAGCTGGATTTTGATGAGAAGCTGATATACTGAGATACTGAAGATGCCTCTTCTGTTTGCCAGTGAATATTGTTTTCCCAGTGGTCCTTTCAGACCCAAACCCTCTCAGTCTAACTACAGTAGTACTGCATCCTGTTAGTCCGTCGCCTTTTCCGTGACTGGAATTCTTCAAAGAAGTGCTGAATGTCTTCTCTTTTAACCACCTAGAAGAGCATGAAACCCAAGTTTTGGTGTGGTGCAAGAGCTCAATTGAAGGATCCCGGTTTTTATCCCCACATGCAATACACAAAGCACAGAAAAGCAAATATCCTGCAGTTTCTCTGATACACCTTCTGTTGCACCCAAAGGAGACGATTAATGCCCAAATTCTACTACAGAGAATACAAACAGGGAAACGAGTTCCCCTAAGGCAGAACAAACACATGGAGCAAAGCTCCCACTGGTACTTTGACCTCTTGTTTTTACCATAAGAAAATTTAACACAAAGAAAGATCTTCATTAGCTCACTTCAGTCTCATTCCTATGTAACTATGAATGGCAATACAGCAAATCTGCCACCAAAATGCAAGTGTTAATGAATAATAGCAGGTGCATTCCTGCAGGAAAACAACTGACAAGACTGACAATCATAGGTAGTCTTTATTCTTCTAAGGGTTTAAATTCAATCTAAGAAAAACCAGAAAATTTAAGAGCTTTTTCTCCCTGAATACTTCTACTAGAATAACAGAAGTTTCCTTTAAATGTAAGAACTGCTCTTAGTACTTTGCAAACAGATTTCTGTAAAGTCCCCATTACCTCTCAGCAACGCCATTAAGGAAATATAACTGTTAAATTCCAGTGAAATCAGGAATTTCTAATTTCTACTGCAGCACCAGCAACTCCAAGAGACAGGAAAAAATATTACAACACAGCATCATAGTATTCAGCACCCAGCCCTCAACAATTCTTTAAAACACATTTTCTGGCAAACAAATTCTGGAAGTTGCCCCTTACCGTTCCCTCATCTGCAAACCTCCTGAGATAGTCTGTCAGTTCCGTCTTTAAATCATTGTATTCTGAATGGCACAGCAAAAGCAAAGAAAAATAAAAAAAAAAGTAAGATATCCAGTTTTAGTTTAACACTGGCTCAAGCAGACAATTTGTTCTACTCCTTGTCATTCATTAGGTTTATTTCAGACAAATCTAGGCTTGAACTGGATTATAATTAATAATAATTAAAAAGACGAGTTCAGGTAAACATGAGAAGCCTAATAATTTATGAGACTAACCTATGCAGTGGAATATCTGTTTGTGTTGATTTCAGAGCAATGTATAGAGTTCAGTGAATGAATCAGTACAATTAATTAAAAGACACTGCAAAAGCCAGTGTGGGTCATGGCAGAAAGTTCCAGCCTGTAACTCGGGATTGGCCAGCTGTCCTCTCCAGAGTGCAGAGCCCTCACCCAAGAGGGAAACACAGCTCCAGGTATAAAATACCTCAGCAATGCTTTGTCAATATTCTCTGCAGCAGAGCTGCAGGGGACACCTGACTGGCACTCTCCAGACAGGAGACTGCCAAACAGCAGAACAGGGTAAGATAAATAAGCCAGACAGCATAAGTGCAAATTAATGTTAAATATACACATTAAATACATTACAATCAATACAGTACCTAAGATGTTAAACTGGGTGAAGGTTCGCACACCATCTAGTGTCTCACTCTAAGCTGAAGTTGTAAGAAAGGGCCAGAGAGGACCAACTTCTCCAGAGTAATCCTGGCTGAGGTGTGCAACCTGTCAGTCGTCTGCATGTTACTTCAAAAATAGTTTTGACACTACACTGCAATACCTGATACTAATGTCTTGTGGGAAGCTGTTCAGTTAAAGTGTTAAGGCATATTCTAAAAATGAAGTTGTATTTACCACAGATGAGTTCCACTTGCTGAACTCTGTTCATGCTGTTAAGGGTGTCCATTAAAGGATCTCTTCTCTCCGTCTCTTGGTCACTGGTACCTTTATTTTCATAAGCCAAGACAGTGTCACATTCGTCTGTCAGGAACTGGACTTCAAGGTCTGAATACATTTTCTGGAGAATAAAGTAAAATTTACTTTTACGTGACAAAACTTCTCAGATGGGAGATGCTCTCCCCCAATCCTTTTTGTGTTCCAAGGTCACAAAGAACAGCAATTATCAGGTAAATTTGTATCCAGCATTTCAGACATTTCCCCATACCGACTTCCAAAGCAATCCTAGATTTAAGCAACAAAGAAAATACAAACGTTTAGAAGCTCCTTTGTGCTATATTAATTCACAGGAATCAATGTGGATTTTTATGTGGGGTGAAGGGGTTTTTCAGTGTTTATATGCAGAGTAAGAACATTTACACAGATTTTACCTAAAGCTCTCCAAAGATTCTCTAGGAGCTCCTCCCTGCCTCTCCCAGATCAGTGATGGTAATGAAGAGAGCATACATACCAAACAGTCTTCACAGGTGCATAATTTGCTCCTCCAGTTTGATGGCCAAAAGGTAGCAGTATCTTTTTTCAAGAATGGCTTACTTTGGAGCTCCTTCAGCTTGCAGACTGGTTCCTCACTCTTAGTAACTACCTGAATTAAAATGAGACTGTTCAGCACCCTGTAACATCACTTCGAAGACACTCCGTTCTTTCTGGCATGTCCATTTCCTTAGGCAAGATTTTTCTTTTGTCTCAAAGACATTTATTTTTATAAAAAACCTGTATTACCATCCACATGAGGATTCTGATGTGGTTTTAGCAATTTCCACTAGAAATTTCTGTAGAAATTTCCTGCAATAGCTGTAAGTGTTTAAGAACTCAGAGCTGGACCATCACACAAGTGCAGTTACAACACATAATACCCCTGTGTAATAACAGAAGTCCCCTCAGTGTCCAGGCCAGCTGGCTGACAAGAAGGGACAGATCTAACCCATCTGCAAACAGACACCACATCCTTGGACAGCCCTGTCCCACATCCTACACTGTGCTCCACAGAGACTGCGCGTCTGAAGTGTCAGTGACTGAAGAGGAACACGGGAACAGACTGGATGCATTCACCCCTTCCCTGAGCCTGTGCACAGTGAGGTGGGCTTCACCTCACCTATCAGCAGTAGGAAGCTGTGCAGGTCAGAAAAGAAGGTACACTCTACCTCGGGACAGGCAGACCCAGAGCTGGTGGATGGTTCATTAAACTGTTCCGTTTGCTTTTCCTCCTTTGAGTCTTGGTGTTCCACTCCACTTTCTTTTTTTATTTCTTTTTTCTGCTCTTCACTTTCCTCAATCTTCAGGACAATCCTTTCATCTTCAAGAGAGTTCACTTTGGTCAAAGGAGGAACTGGAAGACATGTACCCACATAAGTGAAAATACTGTGCCAGACAACATACAGGCCACCACAGATGTTCTCTCTGCTTCACAGTGCGGTGCTGGAGAGCACCTAGATCCCCTCATACACTGCAAGGTCCTGGATACACTCTAAGCTGTCCAAACACACAGTCACCGAGGTATAGAAAGAAACTGCTCCTTCTTTCACCATAGTCTCCTTCAGCTCTCACACCCCATTCTAAACTACTCTGCTTCCCAAAATCTGGGAAGCCCTAGGAGAGGGAAGAGGGTATCACAGTTTAAGATCTGATTTGCTTTACCTGCTAACTGTGATGCATAAGCCCACAGGAAATGGCAATGCTTCATGCAGGCCTGGCACACCATTTCATGGAAGTCTCCACTTTCAGGGGGAACTGCACCAAGATGCTGTCAGGAACAAGCACACAGTAGTGAAACATCTGCTGCAAATTAATAGACAACTCCAGGTTTAGAGGAAGGAAAACATCATCTGCCATCACATTTTCAGAACAAGCAAACACTTTCCCTAACTTTCTACAATGACTATTAGAACAATGTGAAGACTGGAAAGAGCTGATAAAAAATTCCAGGAAAAACTCAAATAACTCTGTCTACACTCTTTCATGCCTTCCACATACCCAGAAATCTCATTTCTAAATAATATTCTGCTAAACTGTCCCAAACATAGGAAAGGTGAAGACAGCTCTTGCACACTGCACATTTCAACTCTTAAATGACTTTTTACAATTCCTTCCTTACATGTAAAAGATTGTAAAGTCTTCATACTGATAACATACGTAATTCAAGAATTAGCTCCCAAAGCTCTCCATAAACTGGTGAGAACTATTTGGGCAATCAAAAGTGGCTTTCTTTTTAAAAGCATTCCTTTAAAGTTCACAGTGTGCAGCACAAGAGTCTTCATTCCCACACTTACACAAAAGAATCCAACAGTTTATCTACAGAACACATAACTGAAGCCAATCATCTTTTTTTACTATTCTTTGATCTTGCAACTTCAAACATGAAATATCACTCGTGCCCTTCGAGGCACAAGAGGCTGAATTCTTACTGCTTACCCATTAAGTAGGACACTCACCACAGTGCTGGGCTGCTTTTAAAACATTTTCCCAAAATTCCAAATCAGGAACAAACAGCACAGTCTGTTCCTCGCTACTTAAATGAATTAGAAGTTTAAAAGGCATTATTTTGAATGAAGAACTATTCAGGTAGTTGATAATGGTGTGCCTCAGTAAGAATCTTTTCCTCATCGACTGTACTGATCTGAGTTTTCCAATTAAAGAGACAGCTACAAAACTATTAATTTATTTCAAAGTGGTAACCTTCAAAAAGGTAGGACTCTTCCTAGTGTTTCTGGACTGGACAGCAGTGCAAGATTAGACTTTCAATGTTCCTTTGCATAGGATGAAAACAAATACCTTAAAACTCACGTAATACTCTGTGTTTTGAGAACCACAGCAAACTTCCCAAGTAAAAACAACCACACAAAACTAACCAGCACTAACTCATTTCTGTGCAAATGGCAATTCTGCTATTTTTGGTTTCCTTACCCTTCCATGGAACCAGTCTTCACAAACTATGCATTGGATCATCTCATCTGGAATCTAGATGAACAGTCATATAATTAGCATTAATAGCAGCCTCAAACTTTCACAAGCCTCAAACTGCAGTATTATATAAAGTCTGCTCGGGTGAATTGCATTTCCCTCTTCACTCCCCACAGGGAGCTGCCATTAATAAGCAGTTAGTGCTTCACCAGTCAGTTTGCTTCCCCCAGGTTCAACAGCTCATGTCACATGTCATATTAATAAGGCTGAGGAAATTCCCACTTATTATTACAAAATCTGTTTTCCCAGCAGGGCAAGACCTTCTCACACAAAGAGCTGATAAAAGTTAATACGTTGCTGTTACCTTTCTTCCTGTAAACAGAAATGCATGAACAGGCAGCTCAACAGAAGGAAGATCCTGATACTCATGAAGTCATCAGGACTGTATAGGAATGCCAGAATCTGAACTTAACTGGTCATGATGCAGCACAGTACAAACTGCTTTGTTATGAAACAATTATTAATGAACGACCTCTTCAGAGATGTTTAGCTATCTGTGCACTTCACAGAGGTGAGCTTATAAAATACTTTTGTTCATAAGTGAAAGACTTGTGCCTTCCTTATTCTTTAAAACACCTGACTTCTCTGACTGCAAACAGCATGTGCAAACCCAGTGCTGTGTTTTAGTACTTCAAACAGACAAAAAATGTTGTGGCTACTGTAAAGGGAAGCTAAAGCCAGTGCTACAAGACAGACTCTCCCCAGCCCAGCTGCAGGCACCAGAAGCAGGTTCTGGTCTCTCCTAGCACGTGCAATGTGCTTATTCTGCACTCACATGTTCCTCAAGACAATGAGGAACCCATCCCCTGAGAGAACTCTACAACTCCAGAGGGGAAAGCAGAGAACTGCAGCACCACTTTGTCCAAATGATGGTTTGTCCTCCTCATCTGCCTTTAAGGCATATACATATTTTACCATTAAAAAAAAAAGAATTAATTACCTTTATACAGCACATGACAACCAATATGGAACTTAAGATTTCTTAAAGTGGGATCTTCCTTACAAAGCAGCTCAGTGACCACTCTTTATACAATATCTTGCATAAATACCATCTATATACGACTGCTACTGTGTTTTGTATTTCTTACCTCATCTTCAGGATCAGGATAAGGTCTTTTACAAGTACAGTATAATCCGTAGAAATTGTCATTATATTTGTTTCCTGCATTCACCTTGGCCTTTTCCTGGGAGGAAGGAAGAAGTGTCTTAATAGACAATGCAGTGAAAAACAAAAGACAGAAAATATGCATAATCTGGAAAAAAACAATTTCTGTTCCATCTTAATTCCTAAAAGCAATCATTACATTCATCAGCCTGAATATCCAAGAAGAAACATATTATCCAGACACCTGTACTGTAAAGTGAGCAACAAATAGGGCATGTGAGGAATGCTTAAGTTGAAAAGCAAAGAGGAGAAACAGTCTGCCCACCTTTGTAACAAATGGCAACTGTGCTGCCAGACATTAATGGACAAATGCTGAAGTTCACTTAACCTGTACAGCTGATTTTGCACTAGACTGATGCAGAAGGAAAAACCACTTGATCCATTTCACTAAATGGATTCATTTAAATGATAAACGGTAACATGTTAAACTTGTCACACCTGTCTCTGCAGGGATCACTGCACTGCAGCTTAGCTGACTAGCTCTGGATCCCTCCCAGTTCTCCCAGAATAAAACGGACATACACAAAACCACTGACTGTTTCTACATTTGGACTGTTATTATCCTGGGAGCAACACTGCAGGCAAGCTAAGCAGCGTCCTGTTACTGCTTCACAGATTACCAGCTACCTGACAAGTTCAAAACACCCACCAAGTATGAAAGCGTAGGCACCTTAATACAGCAAAAAACATCAGTAGGCTCTGGTGACAACCTGTCAGAAAATATTAGGGCACTAATGCCACCACAAAGAAGGAAAGGAAACTGTCCCTTTGACAGCAGCACAGCCTTAAATCTCCTTAATGCAACTGCAAAACTGCAGCCCGAAAGATTCCTCTGAACCCAGCTTAAAACTAATGAGATATATTAGTGCAGACACCTCAACATGCTGCTGGCAGCGCAGCAATTGCTGCATTCATGGATGACAAGGACCAAACGTTCCCTCTCCTCCCAACATTTCCCTTTGGTCCCTCAACAGTTTTATCTCCTGCTGTAATACTCCCTCCTCTCTTAACTTGCTAGGAAGGTGGGAGGCGTCGCATGAGTCAGCTCCGGCTGAGGCGAGGCACCAGCCTCCCAGGAGTGTGTTATTTTGACTCTAAACGTCTGAAAACCCGCCTGAACTCACCGGGAGTAACTTGCACTGCAGATTCTTGAACTTGCTATTCCCACAGTCACAGCGGAAATTCCTGGAAAGAAAAACGCAGTGTTTCAGGGGGGTTTATTAACCGAGAACGCACTGGGTTTTGTGTTCATAACAATTCCCAGGAGTTTACTGGGAGCCACGGGAGCTGTGAGGGACCCGCCGGCGCCTGAGGGGGCGCGTGCTCCCCCCCGCCTCCGCAGCGCGCGCGCTTCCCGCCGCCGGCACGCGAGCCCCGCCCCTCTCCCTTCACCCCCGTCCCGTCCCGTCCCGTCCCGTCCGTACCTCTTCGTGTACAGCTCGAAGAGCCGGTGCGTGCCGTGGCACTCGTAGCTGCAGGCCAGGCAGATCCCCGCCGGCTCCGCGCCGGGCGGCGTGCAGGTGCTGCAGGCGTACAGCGCCTGCCGCTTCACCGCGCCCTGCGGGAGACACCGACCGCCCGCGGGATTGAGGGGGCGCCCGGGGGAGAGGGGAGGGACAGCCCCGCCCCGCACCCCCGCCCCTCTGCCCCACCCCGCCCCGGCCCCGCCCACTCCCCCAGCCCGCGGCCCCCCCGGCCCCGCCCCCACCTGTGAGTAGCTGCAGCGCTCGTGGTCGCTGCCCCCCAGCACGGCCCGCGCTTCCTTCTCCAGCTCCTCGTTCTCCGCCAGCACCTCCGCCAGGGACACCACGGGCTCCTCGGCGCCGCTGCCGCCGCCGCTGCCCGGCTCGGCGCCCTCGGGAGCCGCCGCCTCCATGTCCGGGCTGCGCGGGCCGCGAAGCGCGGCGGGAAACGCGGGCGCGGGGAGGCGCCAGGGGGCGCCACGGCGGAAGCGGAATAGCGCGCGCCCCACGTGACCGGGGCCGGGCGCGCGGCGGGCACGTGACCGGCGAGGCGGGGCGGGCCCGGCACGTGAGCGGAGGGGCGGCAATGGCGGAGCCGGCGGCCGGCACCGAGCTGGTGGCGGAGCTGCGCGGCCGCGACGGGCGGACGCGGACGGTGCGAGTGCCGTACCCGGCGGCGGAGGGGGGCGAGGCCGCGCAGCTGCGCGGGCTGCGAGGGGCCCTGTCCGAGCTGCAGGAGCGGGTGGTGGAGCTGCTTGCGCCGCTGGTGCAGGAGGAGCGGGAGGCGGCGGGCGGCGCGCGGCGCGGTGAGTGGCGGGGCGGGCGCGGCCGGGGCGCTCCGCCGGACACGGGACACCGCCCGCCACTCACCCGCTACAACCCTGGCAGGTGCTCTCGGGGATGACGACGAGGAGGAGGACGACGACGAAGAGGATGAAGGCGAGGACGAAAACAACGTGGACACGGCGGCGAGCGGCGATGACCCGCCCCCGAAGCGGACGAAGGTGCAGCAGCCGTGAGGGCGGCGCTGTGCGGCGGGTGTGCGCTTAGACAGCCCCGCTCCGCTGAACCCACTGTAAGTGCCCCGGGCCCGGTGCCCGGACGGCTCCTACGGCGCTGCTGCTCCTGTTTTAACACCGAAACGCCCATCCCAACACTGGGATACAGAAGCCTTATGGAAAGGATGCGCCTGGGCGTGAGCAGCGTGTTGTTTATGTGGTGACAGTGTTACACTGACAGTACTTTTTAGCAAACTAGTTGACAAATACAAAACTTTTCTTAAAAGTCTGATTGCTACATGTTTTTATCGACTTCTTCCATATCACAGTATTTCTTCATGTGACCTTAACTTTTAAAACAAAGCAATAAAGTCTGGAAAGTTATTTTGTCAGATATGAGCTTAAAATGGTACAAGAGGATTTGCATGGAGAGAAAGCAATATATGGCCACTACAGTATCGAAATTAAAAAACGTGTAGGACTCTATCTATTCCTGTACAATGGAAGATTATTTTTGCCTACCTGAAAGGCTTAGTCACCCATCAATCAAATATTTTCCTGGAAGAAGTCAGACAAAGTAGATTGAAAGACTTGGGAATCTTGGTTTCAAAAATTCAGGTTTCATATCGGCCAGGAAATGACAAGTCAGTGTGACTTTGATCATTAATATTCCACAAGTCAAAAACCACTGTTTGTCCTAAGCCTGATTTCTCCAAATAGCTTTTTTCCCTCCCTCTTTTTTTCATGCAGCATTCAATCTTTATATACTTACTTCCATCACTGAGTTTTACCCAGGTTGATTTTTAAGCTCATTTGGTAGCTAAGTCAAGGGAACATCACATCTTAATATTCTCCTAATGCAGAACTCCCAACATTACCTAAAACCAAGAAAAAAGAAAGCAGAATGATTTTTCTGAAATGCTTTCTAAAACCAAAATTGGACATAAAACTAAGGGAAATGTAGTGGCGTTCTACACTGGTTGCTGTAGTTTATTTTAGAGGAGGAGAAGGTCTAAATACTTGAGCAACACCTGTGAGTACATTATGCATAACAGTTCTTGGCTGTATGAATCAGCATAACCCAATCCCTCTGCTAAGCAGCATGATCTTTTTTTAATGATAATGCAGCATGCAGAATGTCATTAGTGTAACAATCTTCTTGCAAGGGGCAAGTTGTCAATGCTGTTTTAGTTCCTAGTTTTTGTTTGGAGCATGCTTCTGTGAACAGGTATAAAACACTCCTGATAGTCAGTCCACAGACTGAGTCTTCTCTCGCAGAAGTTAACTGCCTGACTTAATAGCAGGAAAAACATTTTGGGGCCTAATTTTCATGTGTTCTGCTGACATAATTTTTTTATGTATTATGGAAAGTGAGCAAATCTTGGGACTTGTATACAGAGGACAAAATATGGGAATAAATTAATAATTTTTATGAGGACAAAATTGTCTGCATTCATTTGAAATGGTGGGAGGAGGGGAGTCAGAAATGAGGTCCAGTAAACGTATCATTGACATCTTTATGTACTCTTATTCTGAGAAGGTATTTTATTGGCAGATAGGACAGAGTCATATCTAAGGAGAAAAGACCAACTCGGAAGACTAGGGAGGTTTAGTTGCTGAGGACCTAGGGTGAGAGAGTATTACACAAATTAATTCTGATTTTTTGTCAAGCTGCAAAATCTTAAAATGATAAAATGCTTAAAGTGTTGTGGGGTAGATAATTTATTGCAGGAAGTGGCTTATCAAAATGGCAAAGGCAACGTTTAGTACAAAAAAATAGCCTCATCTTTTATGAGCTCTCTTCTGCAGCTTTGGAAGCTTGTTGTACAGCTACATCTGAGAGCAGCATTTTCCCTGTTCTTTCCTTGTCCCCCCTGCAGACTTAACACCCCAGCAATGGTTTGAACTGTGGGAGGGCTGAAAAGCAACGTTTAATGTTAGGCAAGAGAAAATATGGGGAGTTAATCGGTATCCTGCACAAACTGGAAAGTTTTGTTCTAAGGATAAGTCAATCTTTATATTTTTAATTAAAAACCAAGCTTGCAGTTTTACTTTGCTGCTGGAAGAGACATGTTAAAAGGAACATATTTATTGCAACTTACTTCGGTCCCAAGTTTGAAGGGCTGCAGCCTGATGCTATGCTCTTCATTAGACCTGCTCCCCCATGGCAGGAAGTGAAGAACAGGCTCAGTAGCACTCACAAACACATACGTGGCAGACAGGAAGGCACTGTCAGGTGAAGGTCAAGCAGCTAAAGAAACTGAGACTGCCTAGGTGAAGGTCAAGCAGTCTGCCAATGCTTTATCTTGAGACAAAATGCAATAAAAAGAAATCCAGGGTAGGTGGCGCACAGATGAGTATAAATCACCCTTGTGCTACAACTGCTCACTTTGTTGGCAGAAATTATGGATGATTACTAAGCTAGTAGAGTTTAGCAATCTTCTGAGGACATTGTTACTGCTTCTATTATTCCAGCTTCTGCTGTAGGAAGCTCTTCAAGATCAGGTTTAAGGTAACTCATTTTCAGTCAAGACTATGAGTAAAAATAGCTTTCCCACCCCAAGTGAAAGTTACAGCAATTCATCTTTGCTGCCTAGTCAGTGAAAACAACTAAATAGATTTGTATAAGCAAGTTCTAGCATAAGCTAATCTTATACTAGATTAATGCCACTGCCCTAGAAACATATTTGTGCCATTATCTGCCAGTTATGATCAAGAACTAATTGAGAAGTACTGTAGTCTTTAAAGAGGTTGTAAAATTTACTTGAGCTTGATTATCCCAAAAGCTTGTAGATTATGTCAATTTGTGTTACAGGCAGTTATCTTTTGTGATTCAGAACTAATTAGCATTGACACTACCTACAAGTCTTCATAATAATTAAGCTTAAAGTTATTTCACTACTTCTTTTTTTAAGAGACTACAATAAAACCCAATTTATTAATTTTTATAGTCTTTACTTACTCTGTCAGTAAGACTTCATCTCTTGATGTTCTCCTGGTGCCAAAAGCGCTGGAAGCATCAGCAGAGCTAACTTTGCTCTTCTCCTACTCCTATTGTCTAGTATTCCTATATACTATGTTGATAGTTTAAACTAATTCTCTCCACTGCTGCTTTTAACTTCAAGCTCAAGTCCTTACAGACACTTGAATTAGATTTTGTATCTTTCTGTAGTTAGTTGAAAAGCTCATGACTGCCAACACCTGTAATCCAAAGCCAGGCTTCTGATGGAAAAGTCTACAAACACAAACCACCTTTCTGTAAGTCACCACTGTGCTCAGCACGTGCTCCACGTCCAGACAGCTTGGCTCATCCCACCAGGCATGCTGATGAGTTTGCTAAGGGTCACATGCTTGCACAACAGAAACTTAGGCAGTTCTTACTACCATTTTCTATTTTTTATGCTTCCTCTTTAATTCTTTAAATAACTCTTTAAATATTTCCATTTGGACACAGATTAACTGCTCAGATTAAAACTATGGCACCAAGTTAGAAACAGTCCAGCCAGAGTTATCTCTTTGTTATACATAGGTGAAGAAATGACAAAGGGATTTGGTTTTATCCAGCCAGTCCCAAAACTCCATGCTACCAACAAGGGCACAGAGCATAAAAGGACCACAAAAAAGATGAACCAAACACACATCCTGAGGGAAGGACAGCTACAGCAGCTGGCAGCCAGCACTGCTGTCTGGCAGCAAACATACGCAAAAAAGAAAACCAAAACCAAAAAAGAAAAGCCTTTGATATGCACGTGCATTAACAGACTTCTGTTTATAAACTTTGAAAAGTTTTTATTTTATAGATAAATAGCATGGTGATTTTAAAAGTTGGAAAACAACACAACTTAAAAGCTCTGATTCCAAAGATAATAACTACTCATCAGAGTTTATAATTTACTCTTACTCCAGCATACTGAGATGGCAGCTCCCTCCTTTTCATATTGCACTTAGAACTCAAAACCTTCTTGTAAAGGCTACATTGTTTTCAGGTCCAAGCACTGATGCTGACAATTGAAACCAGTGTCTCAAAACATCTCCAAATGCAAGCAGAAAGTTTAAGGTGTTGTAACTGCCATGCTTAAACACAGCAAAACTGAAAATAGTGTTCTCTTTCCAAAGTGAGAGAAAGCTGATATTCCCAGGATTCCCTTAATGCAATCAGAAATGGATTATCATTTGTGATGACTGGGTATGGACAATCACATACAGTTCAAATTATAATTGAGGAGTTTAGCTCATAATTCTTTGGAGCCTACTGCTTCTAAAGAGTGTATTTTGCACTGTTTCCATATTTGTAAAGTTACTTCCATCATGGCTGGGTCAAAGATTTAGTTATTCTAAGAAGTAAAAAGGGACAAGAGGAAAGAACAGATTTCACTCTTATTCAAAATATACAATACAGCAGTTAGACTTAAAAGCTATGCCAAAACAGCAATGAAAAACAGAGGTTGAAATTATGACAAGAAATCTCAGCGAAATTTCAGTGTGACAGAAGAAATTTGCATTCATTACAAGAACGAGAAGAAAGTATCTTACTTCTTTGAATTTCTAGAAGAACCATGATTACTTGTCTTACAACCTGTTTCTAGCATCTCTCCAACCTAATACCAGTTAACTTTCCCAAATTCAAAGTCTTTCCTAATTATGTCAGTGCTCCCGGAACATGGTTTTGCATCATGTCTGGAGTGAAGTTAGAATGGTCATAAATGTCAGCAATTTTATCAAGTGAGATAATAGAAGAAAACATAAAAGAATTTTTGTGCAGACTACAGGCCAAGTACAGCATAAGCTGTTTTTGATGTCATAGGAAAACAGCTTAAAGCACCAAGCTCCAGGCTTATGCCACTCCTCACTGCCTACTTACTACACTGTTGTGGTCACTGAAAAACAGTAGGCTACCACAGGAAAAACAGTACTTTTTTCCTTTAAATGTTTGCACAAACTTTATTCTTTGTTTCCTGGTTTTATATCTGAACTTATTTTTAAAAAATTCATTAAAAACAGCACTGATGGAGATATTACTTAGCAAAAAGAAAAAAGAAAAAGAATTGTGTTAAGTGCAGCTTTTATAATCACATTCTCATATGTTTTTCCTTTTACATTTACTACAAAAGCAGCATCTTTTCATTGATTTTACTCCAAGGGAAAACATAGGAAATCACTTTTTTGCACAGAGGAGTAAAGTTGTGGACCAGAAACTCGTTTCCCCACAGGGCGTTTCAGATGGAGTGTTGTGATTTTGCATCATTAAGGCAAAATGAGGAATACTTCCATCACATGTCACACAGGGCTCTCCCACTCTGGCTGCTTGATAGACCCATAATTAAAAAACCTTTATAGTTACTTTTTTTTTTTAAATAGAAAACAGTCACTCTCTTCATTGCTTATCAGTTTGAAAGAAAAGGCTCTTTCCGGCCTTCACTCAGAACTTCAGTCTTGTGATTAGATCAGGCATATGCAGTTGCTTCAAAACAGCAAGAGAAACTAGAACTTGAGCTAAGTGTCAATCAGTTGTAATCTACTGATCTGATTAGAGGCCTTCACAAATGTTTGATGACGATTGCAAATAACAGCCAAGCAGATAGGAATGATGCAGTACCCAACAGTTTTGGGGTCAGCTCTTGTACAGGAATAGAGAAACAAGAACATCTGTAAATATGGTATTAAAAATATTATAGTCCACAGCCAAAAAGGCAAGGATAGCAGTCGTACTTTTAAGGAGTGCGTCCATGTGGTTCCTTCCTGTGGCTCCTTCGGATGTTGCTGAATGTGCTCCAGTGCTAGTTTGTTGTAAGTCTCATTGATTTCAAAGACATAATAAAAAGCTGCAGCACTTGCTAACAAGTACAGCCCCACACCAATCCATCCCATCCTCTGGCGGAAGTTCATCATTCTCCATGCTCTGCACCTGGAACAAAAGGTGACATAAACATTTAGTACAGCTTGGGAAAGAGGAGACACAGATGAACCTTGGTTCTTGTAACTTAACTTTCTATAACTTTTCATTACACATTAGTTTAAACAGCACACACAGCAATTTCTGAAGACTCAGGTTCTCTCTGCTTCATAGAAAATGACAGTATCTGCCAGTGACAGGTTAATGGTAAGGACCCACAGAGCTCTATTGATGGCTCTGGCTACTCTAAGGCCTGCTGGCTGTCAGGATATACCCAGTCAAAAGACAGAGTGAACATAACAAAAGTCATCAATTGGATAGATTACTTACCCCATTTACCCTCAGTGTCTCTAGACGCAGGGTGGGATAACACAAGATTTTCTATAAATATTTAAGTTTGGAAAGTTCTTTGACGTCTGCAAGACAAAGGTGCTGCTAGACAGCCAGTAACAGGAGCATCACTGCTTCTTTGTGGTGTAGCAATGTCCAGTTGTATTAAGCTCTAGCTGAGTGCCTATCTATGTATGAACCATATGTTTTCAATTTCAACATCAGAAGATATGTACTAAAGGTATGTATTTGCACACATGAAGGTACTATAAGCATGTTACTTGCACCTAACTGTATTCCTGCTGTCCCTGTGTGGACAGTTGCCACAGCCCTTCTTGGAGGAATGGAGCTGCACACCTCTACTGTTCAATGCCTCGGTGCAGAACAAACCAGACACCCCTCCACTGGCACTTTTCAGGAAAAGCACAAATTATTGGAGCACCACAGATACTACTGGGCCTAATTTTAGCTGCTTCAAATCTCCAGCTGGTAGCATGGGATCTAGGTGACTGGAAACACTCTTCAATCCAGTCACAAACACTAGCTGAAGTACCTCCATACAAAGTCATCACCTCTTTCCCTCAAAACAGCCCTTGCTCAGGGCAGGGAGAACCACTGCAGCTGATCAGGGCTCCCCTAACAAACAGGCTTTTTCAGGTTGTTGGGCTTTTGCTTTTCCTACCTTTTTTAAGAGAGGGGTAAAATCCATCTATGTAAAGCTGTTTTAAGAGAACGCATTAAGCCTTAAAACATTAGGCAGAAACACATATTTAAGAATGAATTATGCATACAGAACAATGACGATTCACGGAAGTATGAGATTTTTTACCATAAGCGATAAAAAAAATCACTACCCCTTTCTAAATCACCCTTTCTGAGCTCGACTATTTGGTTAGCAATCTTGAAAGGCTTCCTGGTTTTACCTAAGTGAAGGGTATCCTTAATCCTGACCTTACAGAATCTGGTCAGGGCAGCCCTGGAGAAATTGTTCCGGCCCTCACACTGCTGCGTTCATGGTGGCTAAAACAGGTCACGCATACAAGGATATTAAACATCTGGGAAAGAACAGTAAATACTTGAGAATACCATAACTTATGTCTATGATCGCTACTTCTTGTTTAGCTGATCCTTCTATATAACTTAACTGCATTATTTCCCTTTGATACACTGAGTCAACAGTTTTAGTAGGACACCTGAAAAATTTGTGTAAGGAGTTGTTAATCTACTGGGTAACACTCGAACCCCCGAGTCCACGTTTACGCAGCAAATAACACGCTGGATATTTTTTCCAGCAGTTCGGCATTGCCAAGCTGGCTCACGAGTTGTCGCCTTCGAAGAAAATAAATCTTCGGAAGGCAATTACATACTGAAAGCACAAGCACTATTAAAACAGCAGCGGATTTAAGAAGGTAAACAGCCGCGGATTTTGATCCTGCCCTTGAGCAGTGGTCAGAAGAGAAGCCTTAGCTCCGTGTTACACCAAAGGAGGAAACACTCAGGAGTTTTCTCATTCTTACGCTCCGTTTCCAGACCCCATTGTAACTCGCAGCTTTTGGGGAAACCCGTGATGGTTACCGGACCCGTTCACCCCCACTGGGGTCTCCTCCCTCCACCGCCCGCAGGACTCGTGCTGCTCCAGGTGAGACGCGCCTCGCCGCCAACAGGTCCTTCCCCGGCGCCGGCAGCCCCTTACCTTGCTCCGGCGGAGAAGGAGGGAGCGGGAGGGCGGCGGCGGGCGGCCCGCTCCCCTCAGCCCGCGCCGCGGCGCCGGGAGGCGGCGGGTGCCGCGGTCCCGCCCCGCTGCCCGCCCGCCGCCATCACCCCCACCGGCACCGCCGCCACTTCCGGCCCGCTCCAAAGGCTGCCGGGGCGCGCGGCCGCATCCGGGGCGGGCGCCTTGGCCGGCCGCCATCTTGGCTCGGGCGCGCGCCACTCGTTGGCGGGGGCGGCCTCGTCCAAAATGGCGGCGGCGCCGAGGGGCTCTCGGCTCCCCTACGGGGGACGAGGCCCAAACTGCTGGGCTTGGACAGGGGCTGCGTCGAGGGAAATACCAATAGAGGCTACTGGGTTGTGTAACAGCCTCCAACAACTGATATGCATGTATTTAAAAACCAGTATATGCTAATGCATAAACATGACTGACTGACTTATTTCTGTTGAATTAAATTATTAGGAAATATTATATTCTTATTATCCCATGTCGGGGGAGGGGGGTGGTGGTGTGTTGGAACTAGATGATCTTCAAGGTTCATTCCAACCCCTTAACATTCTGTTGTTCTATGATCTACTGGGTAAAATCCTTTAATGAAGCCAAAAGATCATTTAAATTGAGCAAAAAAATTATCCGGCCAGGTGTGTGCCATTCAGTGACAGCACCACAATGATATTGGGAGAATTTGTGCGTGCAGAACGCGTTTGCCTGAATTCAGGAACTGTGTGGTGCGATGTGCTCTGTGTTAGTTAATTCAGTAACTGCATAGTGTTATTTGTGAAATGAAAACTTATTACTAAATCGTTGTATTCCCAAAGTCATGAGATAACTACTGTTTCTCATAGAGAAAGCAGCAGTGGCCAAAATTCACATTCATCCAGCTGTAGTTAAAAAAAGAAGGCTAAAATAGAATTTAAAAAGGGATGTCCAATAAAAAATGAAAGATGCTAAAGCAATGACATTTCTTTTTTTGGATGTAAATAAGTATATACACACAGGATCTTCTGCCATTTTTCTTGGGGGATGTAGTAGGTACATGTGAGGCAGTATATAAAAGCCACTGCAAAATTAAATTTATGATGGCTTATTCTGCTATGTTTGGTGTTAAAATTAAAATGTTAGAAGCTGGTGTTTTGGGTTATATTCAGGACAGCTGATGACTAAGTGCACGAAGCTGCAGATATTGTTAGTGAAAAGAGACACTGCTGAGAGCCCACAAGAGTCAGCATATAAGTTCTCTGGCACAGAGCAACTACACCTTAGACTTTTTTTAAAATTATTATTTTAATGCCTATTGAACTAAAGGCCCAAAAGCGACACAAGATGGCGCCCGGCACCGCAGGCAGAGCCAACCTGAGCAAAACCCCGACTGCCAGGTTTTGCACTTGAATTCAGTTGAACGAGGATTTCATTACCTTTCATGAAGTTTAAATAACCCGTTAGTGTAGTTCTGATGAAAGATGTCGACATGAATAGCTACATAGCTAATGAATAGCTAATTATCCCTGGGACAGTTCTCTTGACTAAATACCATTCTCTCTATTCTTACAGGTGGTGAGGTCCCAGTTGATCTATAAGGGAATAAACCTCTTGTGGAGCTGACAGACTCAAGCATGGCTGTATTGCATTTTCTTATCCTGAGGTTAGTGGTAATGTTGGGAAATGAAATAGTTACCACAGAGAGCCTATTTTCTTTAAAATACCAACCTAGATGTCAAAGAGAAGGGTTTCAGTACAAATTAATATGCGACTGTGTGAATATATGGCTTGGCAGTGTGCTAAGTGTAAAGCCTGCATTTGCACTTGAGATTCTGAGGAAAAGGGATTGGAATGTGGGACTTATTTCTACTTAGGAAGCCTGTCTTTTCTCTGAACTGTTGGAGTTGGAAGTGGAGGAGGATTTATGATTTAACCAAGCAAGTTAAAAGACCCAACCATGGGTCTTCTCCTCTATGTTAGAGCATAGGCCTGAGACTATGGTTATGAAGAGAAGAATCTAGAAAAATTGAGGAGTTATTATAACAAACACAAGGCCTTTGAAAGCTAAGGCATAACACCAGACAAAGTGATTTGTAATATTTTTTGGCTAGATCTCAATCTGCATAAATTCAGTGTTATGCTCAACCTTTGGCATAGTATAGGAAAGGACACAGCAAATAGCTCAGCTGAGTTAGCTCAAACTAACTTTTGATTGGTTAGTTAGTTTTAGCAGCAGCTCTTTGAGGGGGGAGGGAAGCGACTGTTCTCAGCTTTAGAAGGGTTTCAAGCTAAATTCCAGTCATGAGGACTGTTAATAATAAGGGGAAAGAATTCTTGAGAACTGGTAATAAAGAGAAAGAAATAATACTCTGCATATTGAAATGAGAACATATACCCGGTGAGACTTAATTCAGCTTGCAAACCACAGGAGAAAATAGAAGTCTGTTGAATCCAAAAGAAATAATATTTAATTAATAGAATCAGAGATTTAATCATGGGATTTTGTAGCATTAACAAAGAAAAAAGCGTTTCACTTAGTTTTGTCAGGCGGCGTATTTTTGTAGAAATACTGAGTTTATTTTGAAGGTGAAACAGAAAGGCACTGGGAGCAGTGGGGCTGGCTGTTCCATCAGGGGCAGGAGCCAAGCATGATAACACAGCTGGTAGGGCAGAGCTTCACTGCCCACAGTACCTGAGCAAAGCAAGCAGGGCACACCACATTCAGCGAGGATGTACAGGCAAGCAACAAAGCAGGTCCAAGGTCAAGTTGGGAAGGCAGTCCACAGGTTAGGGTCAGGTGCAATGAAGAGAACTCGGGTCAGACATAACCTAGTGATTGCCATACAGGTCCATACTGGTAAGAAAAGACTGAGCTCAAACTAGGAAGTCAGTCTATAACTCCAGGTCCTGATGAACATGGCTTGACACAGTCATGACTGAGCTGGAGACCCATACTCCTAATACATAGGTCAGGTATGGTCTGAAGCCCCAGGGCTCAGTTTAAGTGGGGCTCCTGAGCCCTTGGGAGTTGGGCAGCTGAAGATTGTTGGCCTATTAAAGCCTGTTCCTGCACTCAGGATCCTGACAAAGTACATAGGATAAATGAGGGCTGACAATAGGAATCAGAAGGCTTAGTTGTAATTTTTGAGTCAAACAAAGTTTTCATAAAACAGTATTAATGAAAGGTCTTCCCTAGACTTAGATTATGGCCAAAAAGAAAAGCAAAAGTAGAAGACCTGAGATAATTACCAAACCAAAATTAGTTGTGCTTCCAAATGGAAGGCAGAAGCTGAAGGACAGAATGCATTTTGCATTCTTTTGGGTGGATCTTTATGCTTATGTTTAACATAGTTTGTACTAGGTTCTCATTGACAAGTAACTGAGAAGGGAGACTATTACAGAGACATTTCTGTCAAAACAGTATTTGCCTTCCCCTTTGTAGGATGCTGAGTTTTGATTCAACAGGAACACCATGTTCCCAGATCTTTTCCTTCTTAATCATCAGTCTAAACTAAACACATGGCTAGAGCACTGGGATCCCTACAGACTCCGTATGTGCTGGGATTCCAAGGAGAAATCTGGCATAAATGAGGAGAACAGGGCATGAGCGCATGTGTTGGTCCTATGAAGATCATACCCAACCTTAAGCCAAGAAGGTTAGACTAGTTTTAGGGTAGGGCTAAGCTGAGGAGTGAGGGATGAAACACAGAGCTCCTTGAAAATGCTCACTTGCTGGTTATGGAGAAGGAAGGCAACTGAAAGAAAGGAAGATAAGCTCCCATCTCTTCCTTATACTTGGAAGGTGGGGCACAGAAGAGCAAACTGAAGAACCACTGCTTTGATCAGAGAAAGAAAACACATGGAAGCCCAAGCCTCACATGACATCTGCCCTCATCTCCAGCTGGGCAAACCCCCCTGTGTGTTACAAGAAGAGGTAGTGCTGTGTTTATAAAGAAATGTAGAAGGGAAAGGTTTTTCAGTGAATCTGAAGTAACAGATCTGAAAAACTGAGGAGGCATATTGGGAAAATGCCTTTTTTTTTCCTTTTCTTTTTTCTCAGAACAATGTTTATAGTACTCATGTGAATTTTTATCAGTGAGTGCATGAATGCCCAGTGTTTTTGCAGCTTGCAGCTGTTTTGGTTGTTAGATGTAGTTGCAGTGAATTTCATAGTATCCTGTTGTGGTGTAATAAGTTGTTTTGATCAGTTTCTTATCATTTACTGTGAGCCAAAACCAGTAGTTTCCTTCAATTCATATGTTTTATTTCATGTTTTATGAATCCTTATTTTGTGTTTTAGAGCTTTTGTTTCTTCTGAAAGTAAGGCTACAGTCTTCTGATTCCCTTTTTTTCTTAGGTGGTTATTTTTCTTGTGCTATTGTCTTTCTGTGAACTTCTTTGTTGGAAACATCTGTTTTCTCAGAGAGTGTACCACATTTCTTTGGGAGCAACATTTTTCTATATGTTGGCATTTTTATATTTTATGTCTTCTCCTTTTGAATTGAAATAGTATATTTGCTTGGTTTGGCTACACTGACCACAAAAAGCAGAGATATTCAGTAAGCTGTGTGTAATCCATGGTGATCTTTTCCTCCTTTGACTTGCTTTGTATGCTTTGAAATGTTGGGAGCTTAAATTAACTTAATCTTTAATTCTCAGTTCCTGAAATTCTTCTACGCTTTGCTTGTTAGCAGCAGCCACATCTGAGTTAAGCTTCAGGCAATCATGTTAGCCAAGTCCTCTGAGTACCAGCCATACTTTGTTCTTGGTTCTAGAAATATTTACTATCTTTTCAACAAACTTTTTTATATTTATCTCATTCTCCCAAACATCCACAGTAAACATCTGTCAAAGGAAGACTTACACACTACTACCCTTTGTCAAAGTGCCTATAAAGAAATTAGTCTTTTATGAAGAAGGGCCTTGGCATTTTAGACTGAACTCTTAGTCTTCATTACAGTGATGCTCCTTCTTCATTAGTTACCAGTGAATATAATCCTCATGTCTACATTATCTGTGGTAAAACAATTTCAGCAAGAAAGAGATAAAATCTTTGCTTTTACCCTGTGTTTTCAGCCAGTTACAAAGTCTCTTCAAAGTTGAGCAAGAACTGACAAAACACACTGAAAGAATATGGGCAGAGATGGCTGATGACTGAGTGTTTCTCTCTGTGGCATTTATTTAAACATACATAAAATACAATTTTTGCAGAAGCAATGCAGATACTGATCTCACAGCTCCAGCAATATGACCCAGCATCATGCTGACCTTGAAGGAGAGAGATCTGTCCTGAAGAATTTTGGTCAAAGGAGTTTATGGTTACAAATTGCATTTCAGCAAAACCATTATTCATTACAATTTCTTGTTTTTAACTAAATCTGCACAAATAATATTTAAAAAAAAATCCACTTCCAAAGCTGCCATTAAACTCCTGAGAATTCTGCTTTTCCATGATTTCAACTGAAGTCTGCTCATACTGTTAGAGAGGAACAGTTACTGAATTTCCATGCTGAGTTTGCTGCTGCCAACATGTTTGGTCATGTAAACAAGTTCACTGAAAAGTCACTCATGCTAAAAAGAAATCCAGATTCACAACGAGGCATCTGCAGGCCAAAAATGCTGGGTTTGGTCAGATGGCCTAAAAAATAGTAAAAAACGAAAAATCCTCTGTGAGAGTCATTCACTGGAGATATTCACTGTTCCTCTTTCTTCTGTCTATATAGATATTCCAGGAGAATCATCTGACCACCTGAGAGAGTGACAGCTCCATCCTCACAAGAGGAGGTCACAATGACACTCTTGCTTTTCTTTTTAATTTCCGCTAATTAACTGTATGATGCTTATGTGAAGCAAGTCAGTAATACCAAAGAATGGTTTTAGAGAGATTTAGTTATTGTCCCTTCTGAGATTCCCAGTTTCCAGGCTGTACCTATCTTGCTTTAGACTGTTAAGGATGTGCAGCAGGGAATATCCGTATTCAGACTTTCCTGAAGCATAACTTTCTTTTACTAAAGAAACACTGAAAGAACACAGTTCACATTAGGCCTTTTCCCAAATTCAAAGGATCCCAACTTTTTTTGTGTATAAACCAAGAGGAAGGTTTGGGGGGAGGGTAGACAGGATATTGTTTAAGATGTGCAGAATCTAAGCTTTCATTTAAAAAAAAGGAGTTTGTATATGTATATGTCTGTTTTTTGGAACCTCTTCCCTGTGTCCTGTTAGAGCTTAGGAATTAGCCCACAGTTACCAACTTCTAAAATGTACTGCGAGAGGGATATGTGTAAGACATCCATCTATGCCATGTGAGGGTTGATAGGTTGTTAGTCACAGAAAAAAACCCAGAACTCCCCCTTTCCTACAGAAGTATTAATATCTTCTTTTTTATGTCACTTAAATTAATTCTGTTCTTAAAAGCTTTATTATTTTTTATTCTCTAGAGCACTTCAATCACCTAGTGTTTAGTTACTTCATAATATTTTATTATTTGAAGATTTTTGTACACAAACCATTGATTTGTCCCTCAACCATAATCTTATGTGGTTTTATTTTCAGCACTGTTCTGTGTATTCTTTGCTTATCCTTGAAACCTACAATTTAGGTTTTGCATATAAATAATGGAAAGGATTGTGTTGGGCACTTGTGAGTGACTGGTACCTAAAAATGTTACACAGTCAGTCCCATTTACTGATGATATTTATTTAACCAAAACTGATAGCTTTTGGTGTTCTGGTAATAAACTCCATGGTTCAGTTCCCTGTTGAGCTGCCTGCCTGATACAGCAGATATCCCTTACAGTTCTCCCATTTTTTTGTATTTTCAATATTCCTTCCTGGTCCCTAAAGAAGGAAAATTGAGGCCTGGATGAAGAACAGACTTGTCTGAGGCCATGGGAAATCACTGCTGGAGGAAAGCAGAATGACAGAAGTACCTGATGGTTAATCCAAGCATCAGACTTGGAGAGCACCTTGTTACTCATGCAAGTGCACAGGGAGAGCTGTCAGCTCAGCATGAGGGGGGGAGGCTTTCATACAAATTTCATCAGTTGGAAGTAAATCTTCATCCTTCTCTGTGTGGAGGGCTCCTATTATTTTTCTGTTGTCTAGTGAAAGATAGAAGCCAGCTCACTGTAGTTGTGAAGCTTTTAACTACTCACCTCGTCCTGTACCTGAATTTGCCTTTTTCTGAAGCCCCTGCTAGAGGACTGTACCAGAAATCAGCACAGAGCCCCAGAACAACTCAAACGGTTGAACGGAGATGTTAACAGCAGTTGATGGTTACTCTCAAAGGGAGAATGTCAATAATTTATTAGTAAGTGAGTATTTGCATTTCATTTAACAAAAGCACACTAAGCAGCATTTGTCAGTCTTTAAAACAAAAGTCCTTTGTTCCTTACTGTGCAGAGTTTGTAAGCTGCTGCTCTTATCATGCCTATATGAAATGAAATTTCAGGCAGTCATGCCTACATCGTGCTCTATCATGAAGACTGCTTAGAGACTTGGGCGGCCAGCATGGGGCTGGTGGGTGAGAACAGCCATGCAAAGCTGGGAGCATAAGGAAGAATGGCAGAACATAAGTTGTAGATGCCTCTTCTCTGGGAATCTGCACAAATGTGACTCCTCAGAAAAGCACCACTGTTAGCCAGCAACACAAGATTTTTGTTGCTTTTGTAGGAAAGTGTGTGACACCTGGTAGCTCTCCCTTCCCCAGCTGTGTGGAGCAATGGTAAACCAGTCTTTTGGGGCTATTGTCATTGACATCAAGTGGAGATGATTAACAAAGAAGAGTTCGGGTTTGAATTCTCTCCAATTTGTGTAGGTGAGATCCTTTGACAAGACCCACATGCCTATTATATCTCATTCTCCCTCACCTCAACCCAGGCCTCATCATCTTCGGAAGATGTCCCACAAATTGTGGTCAATCTCTCTGGCAGCTTCTTGCATTATTGCAGAGTAGCCAAAATCTCACCTGAAACCACTGTCAACTTTACCCTCAAGACATCTGCGCTAACTTCTACTTCTCTGACTTGTGAAACCATTTCCTAGAGAGAACTCTGTACCAAGTAGCTGCAAAATAGCTTTAGTATATGTGTTTGTGTTTGAGATTTAAAAAAGGTTGGAGGTACAATTACAAAGGTGGAGATTTCTGAAGAAGATTTCCATGTAGTAGAAGTGTTGGTGTGGTTTGCACTTTGTATGTGAAATAAGGAAGAGCATTTTAGTGAAGGCTGGAGAACGGAGCCAGGAAAGGCTTTCAAGTTATTTTGACTTTTTTTGAAAGACAACATGCCTGCCTGTACTGAAATTTCCTGTTCATCAGGAATCCAGGGTTGCAGACCAGGATTGTGGGGCAGGAACAGTGAACAGGGAGGATTTAAATAAGCCACATACAAGGCATATATATATTTATAAATTTATATTATTAGGAATCTTATACTTTATATTGTTATTGTTTACCTTGGCTGAACGCCAGGTATCCACCGGGCCTGCGCCCTGCCTTCTCCTGGAGGAGAAGGGAGGAGGGAAGAGGGAAGAGGGAAAAGGAAAAAAAACTGCGAAACCGAACCTGCTGAGAAAGGCAGTTTAATATTTACACAGAGAGGAAAAAAACTATAAACACTATACACAGAGAGAAGAACTAACAATAAAGAAAGACTACTTCCACATGAGAACGCTCTCCTCCTCCGAAGAAACGGCCCGACAATTCCACGCAGCTACCTGGAAGAGAAGAGAGAGCCTTTGCTTCCTTCTCATTTCTTTTATATCTGAGCTGATGTAACATGGTATGGAATATCTTATTGGCACAATATGAATCAGGTGATCTATCCGGTTCCTTTTCCCTCCCAGGGAAGGTAACAAACCCATTACAGGAGACTTGTGTCCAACTGAATTTCTTCTCAAGAGTGCAGCTTTCAGGCAATACAAACCAATTATTGATCTGACGATACCAAAAGACAGTACAAGGAAGGCTTTGCTTGAACGTTGAATGTGAACACAAGGCAGCTGTGTTCCTGGGAGAGCTTGTCTGCCTCAGCACCATGTCTGGTGCTCTTTGCCCCAAGGCCTCTTTGCCTACTGCTTGAAACACTTTTATGGCAGCTCCTTGGCAGGTCCAAACAGTGGTACAAGTTCTTTCCTCTACTTTAGGGTGTTCACCTCCCTCTCTTATTTATCCTGCCAGGCCTACATATTGAACAAGAATCCCACTTCATAGGCTTGGTGCAAAGTGAGCAGTAACAACCACTACACAAAGTGCTGAGTGTTCAAGAAGGGCCTTCTAACCTGTCTTCCATCTGATTTGTTGACATTGTTTTCCCAAATAAATAAGTAAAAGAGGAAGTGTGTATGTACCTGGGATTTTTGCACAATTTCAAAAAAATTACATAGATGGATAGAACTCTTTAGGACACTGAACTCCTATATGTGATCGCACTCAAATAATGGAAGTTGTGTCCCGATGAAGGGAAATGCAATATGGGCTCATCCCCTATCCAACAATGTGAATTTTCATAGGCACAAGTTATGACAAACTCTTCATCCACATGAAAAGCTTTCTTCAGAGGTCGTACCAGAAAACTGAGGCTCAAGGCAAGCAGGCTTCAATGGTTTAGTCACTAACAGTCCTTCTCCCTGCCAGAAGCTCTGAGGGAAGGGAAAATCCCAAAGGACAGCATTGGCATTGTATGTTCAACTCTAAAGGCAGCTCTTGTATATGAGGTATATTAACATGAGGCAAAGAAGTGGCCTGTTCAGAGACACACAGAACCACCAGAAATATTTGCAATGATCCTCTCTGTGGAAGTGTCCCTTTGAGCTGTCAGAAAAATGATTGGGAAGCACTACCTGTCCAGACAGCTCCATAATGACTCTATGGGATTATAATGTCCTGCATTCAGAGATTCTCATTGCCTAGGCTTTATTTACAGACTGACAGGCACTGAGTATGTGAGATAAGTTTAATACCAAAGTGATATTACAAGTATTAATGGAATTTATCATCCATGTGTCTTACGTGACCTAGGCAATTTGAAATGTCTGAAAGTCTGTGATTCTAAATGAGCTATCTATCTCCCTAGTAAATGCTCAAGAGCTATAGCCAAATTGTAGGCTCAGTTGATTTTTCCAGGTTTTTTTGTTTGTGGTGGTTTGGTTTGGGTTTTTTCTCCCTTTTCCCTTCTACGCTACAGCTGATTATCTCCTGTTTTCTGTAACTTACTTGTTTCCTGAATTTCCAAGTCTTCTCTGCATGACATTCTTCCTTCAGAAGGGCTGTGTGTAGTAGGAGATAGAAATGGGATGTTACAGGACAGAGAGTGTTGGTAACATGGAGGAGATGTACATGTACAGTTTAATCTTCAGATATGAAATTGGAATTTGAGCAAGAAGGGGGAAAAAAAGCCTCTTTTGGTTATTGAATATTGAGATCAGATAATGTTTCAAAATGCACTCTGAGTGGGAAATAGCCAAGGATAGGGATGACTGGTGGAGCAAGGCAGGTTATATTCCTGCCTTCAGTACACCAGTAAGTAGGAGTCAAGTCAGTGCACCACTGATGCCTAAGTATGAAAGGTTTGCAAGCAGAAAAGGAGCAGCACCAAACTCATAGCAAGGCTTTCTCAGCTGTGTGCCTGGATTAGCACCCTGTAGCATCTTTAGTTAACTTCAGGATAGCTGTGGCATGTCCAAAAGATCTGTTGACTGTCCAGGGGAAGCTTTTGGTTAGGATTGGGGTTGTTTCAAAAACCTTTTCTACACCTTGTTGATGAAGCTTGAGTTTACTCTGCGAGTGCATCACAGGCAAAAATGGGGTGTGTCCTTCGTATGCTGGAGATACTATCAGATGGATTTGTTTTGGTTTTTTGTTTGGGTTTTTTTTAATATGCTACAGTTAGTTGGCTTTGGAATAGTGCTGGCATGAACTTTGGAAATGCTTTTCTGCATCTATTCTTTTTGCACTTGTCTATATAAGTCTATACATTGTGGTAGCTTTTGAAAAGATGGAAATTGCTGCCCTTCCCAGACAGCAAAAAAGACAGTGTCTCCTGATGGGACCATGCAGAATCAGCAAGCACAATGGCCTGTGAACTGTTAGGGAACTCTTAAGGAAGCATTTAAACAAAACAGGAAAAGGTTCCTCAATCTTTGGAGCCATAACCATGAGAAGAAAGTGCAAGTGATGATGTGTCCCACACAGGACTTCTATCTTTCCTGTTTTCTCAGTTTTAGCA